GTTGCATCTTTGATGGACTCAAGTGTGGCAGCGGTAGTGAGGTTGGCCCAGGATGGGACATTGTTTCGTTCTGCTGTGCATGGGGTCGCTATGAGTTGGTTCCAACTCAATGGCACCTGACAACCATCTCCCATCTTAAAATTATTATTATTAGGGGTTTTTTGCCAAATTTTTCATCTAACCAGAGATAAATCTAAACCAAACCAGTTGCCATCAAATCATTTTCTGAACTCCCATAGCATTTGCAGAGGTAGATTTTTTTTTAGTAGTAAATCACCAGGCCTCTGGATGGATTCAGCCATCAAACATGTTATCAGTTTAATATCTCAGGGACTCCAGAGATAGAAGTTAGTAATTCACACATATGATTCTGTGAGATACTTCAAATGTTTTTTTTTTTTGCATTCTCAAGGAAAAGGGCTACTTACCCAGCTGATATCAGTGCCATTCAAATTATAGGAAAGCCCAGAGAGTGAAAATGAAATTGCAAGTTGCACACAAGTCACTACCATTTGAAGGATCACAACACTCTGTCAAAGAGAAAATGAGTCCAGGGTTTAGGGTTCTCCACCCAGTTTTGGCTTGTGATGTTGCCATCCTGATCAAGCAAGGTCAATAATGGGTATTTTTCAGAAAATCATTGTATCTGCATAAAACCTTCCCTCCAGTGAACATCCACAAATACAATATTTTGGGAACAATCCAGAAAATGGGAGTTCTAAGTGGTGAAAACAACCTCTGCAAGAGAACTCCATTTGCATTCAATAGTTAGAAACTTATATTTTGATTATTTCTTCCATTGGCCCAGTCAAACATCGACTATCAACACACTGGGATTTAAGATTGAAAAAAAAAAAAAAAATCCAAAGAAAAAATTAACAAACAAAAACTCCTATGACAAATTCACCCACAGAAAATCTGACTTTGCCAACATTTCACTAATCTTTTTAATTATTGTAGAAATTATTATACCAGCTCCTAATGTTGCATAAGGAGCTCTGGTAGCATAGTGGTTATGAATCAGGCTGTGAACCACAAAGTCAGCAGTTCGAAACTACCAGATGCTCCATGGGAGAAATATGAGGCTTTCTGCTCCCATAAAGATTTACAGCCTCGGAAACCCTATACAGGGTCGCTATTAGTTGGAACTGACTCCATGGCACATAACAACAACAACAATGTTGCATAAGTGATCTAATGTTGAATAGGGCAGTAATCCACAGGTCTTCACTCAATTATCATTTCATATATTGAATATTGATGGATTAACTTTTAAATTATAACATTATATATTCATTAGAGAAAATTTGAAAACAATAGAACATACTTTTTATAAACCACAAATACAATCATATATATACAATTCATTGATCATAAGATCAAGGATTTAATTGTTAATATTCCATCTTTTCCTACTATTTTTCAATCTTTAAAAATCTGCCTTTAGTCTCTACTTGTGGAATACTAATATAGTGCGGAAAAAAAATTCCAATTTTTTTAATGTGAAAATACCACCCCAAAACAACAAACACTACTTACAGTTGTAAAAGGGATAGCCAGTAAACACTCGTCAGGGACTGAGCATTTAAAGAATAATAGGTCACATAAATTCACTGAGAGAAGAGTTATTCCAATGCTTGAAATCACTGTGCTAATGATGTTAGTTCCAATATTGAGTGCAATCTATAAGAGAATAATGCAATGAATGAAAATATTCAGTGCCTTTTTTTCAGGGCCTTGGAAAACATGGGCACACCTTCTGGAGTATACTGTCTTCACTGTCTAGTGTCTGGGCTTCTTCACAAGCAATTAAAATTCCCTTCTTGTGAAAGCAGATCACAGGCAATCCACCCCATATCATAGAAGAGTAGGAAATAAGTGATCCATGATAAATGATCTGTAAGATGTCTACTTTGTATTAGATGTATACATAAAT